CAAATATAAGATGGCATCCACCTGGGATCCACCATTCCCGGCTAGTAGGTTTTGGAAATCAACGCTAGACCCACTGAGCGCATTGGTCGCACGGAAGAATTGTTGTCTCATATACTGTCCAATGGCGTTGCTTTGACCTGCCGGGCTTAGGTTTGTTGCAGGTGTGTCCACGAAACAAAGGTTCCTCTCTAACACGATTTCCCCGATGCTCTTTCGGCGCTGGAGCACGCGTGAATCTTCCAGATCCGACCACCATGGAGGATAAGGTTTGGTACTCGCATAAATTTCCGTGGTTGTAGTCAAAGTCCCCCGAGATCGGGGCCGGGAAGGTCTGCGACGTCCCGAAGAGGTCACCTGCGGGATGGTGTCGACATGTACGATATCTTCGCATGTCTGAACGATAGACTTGATCAACGAGGTCTTACCAGAACCTAATTTTCAATACAATCAGCTGCTTGTGTAATTTTGTCTAGAACAGTTGAAACCTACCAGGAGAACCAGCCAGAAGAACCTTAAATCGACCCATGGATTTTCCACGCTCGGTGAACGGTCGCCGACTAGGCATTTTGATGCTTGGCATGATAAGTTGGGAGGCCCCACCTGGAGTCAAAAATGGAGACCCATAGGGTATTTCGTCCTCATCTCCAGATCCAAGAGCCTGACTATTGATTTCATCCGTGATAGAAATATCATCGAGTGGTCGAAAAGACTGGTTGGATATAGATTTTGGGCTGCTAGGCAGCGAGGATGGATCATCAGGGATGCCCAACGTAAGCGGGGTTAAAGGCCGAGATACTGCATGAATGGGAGATGCTTGATCAGAGGAATCGATAGTGCCTGAGTTTAGCGGCTTCAATGTTGACCGGTGTTGTGCGAGGTGCGATTCTAAATCGTCGGTTGCTTGCTTCAGGCTGTCTGCGGAGGGATCGCGGGGCAAGGATGTAAATTCTGATTGGGACAGAGAGGCATCTAGGCTTTGTACTCCATACATATTCTCTTTGACATCCTCAGGGCTATCTAACGATAAATTGGAATCATGATCCGCGACATGTGGACTGCGCGATAAGAAGAAGGTCGCAGGGGTGGCAGTGCGGGGATCGAGGGATGGAGATGAGGGATGGTCGGAGGGTTTGCGAGAGAATGGGAGGTCTGGAATAGGTCTCATTATGAAGGCATTTCACATAGGACAGCATAGGAAAGATATTGAACAAGCTTGGAAGTCAACAAAGGTTATGAAGCTCCCTGGTCTAAAGTGATCATGTCACTTGTCATGTCACCAAGGTTATCATGTCATTGCTCAGGTAAGCCAACATCACGAGGTGATAAACCCCTCTTGATCTCTGCCTGAGGTATCCATGCATGTACAAAGTATATGCAGTTGGAGTTGCTTGATTTTTAATTCCAAGGACATTTCGAGTATGAATTACTAGTTATTTTATTGTATGTTAATTTTTTTAATTTGATATAAAATACTCCAGCAAGCTTGTCCGTACTCGTATCTCCACTGTGGGTTAAATAGAAAATTGGGACTTGGGGAAACTAACATACTCCGTAGGTACTCCGTACATATACAACATAGTTACTTAACGGAGTACTCTGTACAAATGTACGTTATATAGTAAGCTAGTACTTTTTTTTCTGAAACAGGGTACGGAGTACTATGTACTTTCTGCATCTATTAGCACACGCGCATCTAGCGCAGAAATAAGACTAAAAAAGGCGCGGGAAAAAAGGCAGAGACCAACGCCCCGTCTTAAGATCTAACTGTAGTGGCAAGGTCTCATTGCCGACCACGGAGTACCGTCTCCGCCCCGAAATGATTCTCCACTTCATCTCTTCTCTTTAGTTTTCTTCGGATTCTCCTTTTCTCCGATCTTCTCTTGTGAATGTTTCGACTTCAACACTTTCTTTCTTGGCTTGATTGGCCTAACCTGATATCTCTCTTATTACACCATGGAACAACCAGCCATGTCGTGGCCGGAGCAGCTACATGAGAATAATCTCATCACTGCGCCTGGTGAGGAAGAATTCTCTAACTTGTTCGAGTTCAACATGCCTTTTCCCGAAATCGAGCACGGACCAGGGAATATGCAACATTCCCATTCTCTACCGACCACCACCGGCCCGGACTCGGATATGGCTCACCTACGATCGCATGCCGTGCAATACTCGGGCCAGATGGAGGGCCTCATGGATTTCAATGATAACACACAGTCGCACACCCACCACGGCCACCCAATGCCTTACTCGACTCCCCATATGACCCCGGGCTTTTGCGCCCAGCAACCATCACCCATGTCACAACCGCCTACGCACCAACATTACATGCAGGGCCACAATATGATCCCTCCCACCCCGAACAGTGTCGAAATGCATGGCAACACCGCTCGATACCCCCAGCGCGTGGACGAAAATCCGGATATGTACGACGGATATTCACGCATCAACGAGGAACAGGTTAGTTCAGACAAAGGTCCCAGATGAGTATGTTGGCTAACGATTCAGGCGCTCTACACTCCTCTTATCTCACCGGCTATGACACCCCTGGAGAACCAATTTCGACTCCCTGAATACACAATTCCCGGCGAATACTTCACTCCTCTCACCTCTCCCGCTCTAGAGGCCCAAAACGCCGAGTCTAGCAGTTACCAGTATCATGCAAGACAGGTATCGGATATGGGCTTCGTTCCCACTACTGCGGAGGTGAACCCTCTCCCCGGGACCTCGGCTCCACCTTCTCCTAGCATCATTCGGAAGCCCAACTCTCGTCACCGGCCATCAACGACCGCTACCCGGCTCAATAACACACGGAAGGTCAAGCAATCACCTATTATTCGGGCGCAGCGCAAACGCAGCACTTTGGCTACCAATTCGGAAGAGTTCTACAATAGCCTCACCCAGGAGATGAACTCCACAAGGCCGCAAAATCAGGATATCCGCTCACTCCAGCTCAGCAGCAATGAGGGATCTGGCCAGGACTCGGTATCCCCCGAACCATTATCAGAACCGATGATGCCCCCTCCCGCTCTTCCCCCCCCTCGGATGTCTCCTGCAATTGCTCCCCATATTAAATCTTCATCGCCCGGCACTGCAGCCACCCCTGCGCTTTTGATGCGCATCCAGCGGAATCAGCATTTGCAAGACCCCGCAGGCCAGTTCCGCGGCCAAGCGCAGCTCGCAGAGCCTCCAGCTGAGTTCCCAGATGATATAATGGAGGATATATCACTTCCAGAGGCGGCCGCTCCTTCGCAGCTGCGTCCAAAACCCAACCGCATCGATACCGCTGTACGGACGCAGTCGATCTCCACGAATGGGACACCTTTCATGGATCCTTTGTCTGCGACGTACGATAAACCTCACAGCGCTTCTCTTGCTCCCAGTCCACGCACAACTGCAATGCCATCTCCCAGTGGGCCGGTTCCTCGAAAGGATTCCAGGACTACGTCCAATCGGAAACGACCCAGTTTGAGTTCCACTCAGGCCAGTCCACAGTTGCGGCCCAAGATTAGTCCCAGCATCCAGCCACTTATGAAAGGCAGTGAGGGTAAGTCTTGATCCGAATTGAATTCCATGACTGTTATACTAACTTGATTTTAGGCATGTCACAAGATGCACTTTACCTTGCATCAAAGTCCAACTACCAACACATTCTCGACGGGACTCTGCCATCGGGTGTGAGCTATCCAGAGGCTCTGGCTGAGAATTTAAGCTCCAAGCGGACGAATCACAAGCTCGCAGAGCAGGGACGCCGGAATCGAATCAACAATGCGCTCAAGGAGATTGAGCTTCTTATTCCGCAGGAGTTTATTGATGCCCGCAACGCTAAAGAAGCTGCAGACTCCGGTGGCAAGGTCAATGAGAAGGAAAAAGAGAAAGAAAAGGCCAACCAGGCCATCAGCAAGGCCACCGCCGTGGAAATGGCCATTGATTACATTAAAGCTTTGAAGACGACCTTGGACGCAACCACTGCCAAGTTGGCCGCCGCCGAGGCCAAGCTATCGGGCGAGCCCTCCAAGGAGAGCTCACCGTCAATGTCCACGGCTCAATCCGAGAAGAGTCCTGATGGTGTTGCTAACTCAGAGACGAAGAGTTCGGCCTGATCAGACATTATAACCTAATATGACCAGATCTTCTACCTGCATAGTGACGCAATCTATGAAACGGTGGAAGATCAGAAAACAGGATACTCCCTATCCGCGGGTGGAGGTTTCGCCAATTGTGTTATGGATCTATGATCTATGTTTTGTTTAATGTGGTTTGATAGCGTCGGTGTTTGAACTACCAGGGTAGCTCATGTTTGCTTGTACTATTTCTACTACTATTTCTACTATTCTATTTCTACTATTCTATTTCTACTATTCTATTTCTACTATTCTATTTCTACTATTCTATTTCTACCTGATAACCTCTGCCAATTCGATTCTATCTTTCTTTTCCGCTGCAGTGCTCAGACCTCGTATTTTGCTCAAGTAAAGCTAAGAATCTGGGGGGGGGGGCTACCTCAATCTACGTGTAACCTTGCGCTGTACCCCTCTAGATTGTCCCCCAGATGTACCGACACCGATGCGACTATGCATTCATTCTAATATATTTGGTACTTCATAACTACCTGGCAAGTGCAATCTTGGAAATAACATACTAGCTGGCGGTTATCAAAAGACATGCTAAAGATATGGGCCTAGAGTAAATACGAGGCATTAAGCCCGAATTGAGTGTCAATGTTGTTTCCAGTTTCATTGTTCAGAATTAACTAGTCACATATATATATTAATTTATGATGAAGGCTTTTTAGTGGTAGACTTGCCAACATCCCCCGTAACAACGGCCTATGTATAAGTCGAGCGAAGCAAAAGTATTTATTACGCACATGTACTGACTGAGTAAAAAGCTTGCGACGTGTACTCGAGGATGGAATTAATAGTCTCCAAAAATATTTCTTCTGAGTTATCACGCTATAGAAGCTCACAAAAGCATATCTCATTCCATCATATCGCCATTCCTTACTCATTATCCCTAACATCGATAATAGTCGACTTGAACTTCCGAGCAGGAATCTTGCGATTGAACAAGATATCACTTTCACGGTAAGAGCGGCCCTTGAGTTCAGGAAGGAAGAAGTACGCCGACACAAAGCAGACACAGGCTGTACCTCCCCATACGTAACCACACTTTCCAGCGAGATTCCATCCACTAGGGTTGAGCATCCGCGAGGCAAGGTAGATCATGGGGATCTCGGCAACGTAGTACGCGGCACGACCCACACCGGTGCTCAAAGCGCGAAGACGGACGGATGAGGTCTCGGCAATGATGGTGTATGAGATGGGTCCGAGAGTGCCGGCAAACACGAACGAGATTATAATTCCCAGAACGGCCTGGGCGTAGTTTGTCGCTTGGTTCTGGTGGATAGAGGCGCAGACGCCGAGGAGCATGAGTAGAGTGATGTTGGTGGCTGTGCCCCAGAGATAGATGGTTCGGCGACCAAATGAGGAGGCTAGTGGCAAAGAGATGATGTTGGCAACCAATTGAAGACACGAGTTGATTAAATTGAGTTGGAATGAACGGTCAGGTCCCATACCGGCCTCTAATTGTGGAGTCAGTCATCCATTGCTGGTTGAAATCTAGTTATAGTGAAGGACGGAAGTTACTCACGCTCGAAAAAGTAGGTTGCCTGGTTGGCAATCAAGTTACCGGCGAAGTTCTGCGACGCATAGATCAAGCAGGTGATGATTGTTCGTCTTAAATCGGTTCCCTTAAGAAGGTCGAGGAGAGTTGGGGAACCACCCATTTGAGCTTCGATCTCAACGGTTCGCTCTATCATGGCGAGTTTCTGCTGAGCTTGCTCGTGCGAGTCGCTACCAAGACGCTTGATGGAACGAAGGGCTTCTTCTTTGCGTCCGCGGCGAATCAGCCACCAAGGCGACTCGGGGGCGAAGAAGAGGAGGACCAAGAGGGGAGTCTAGAAGGAGTCAGCGCCTATAACGAGATTTCAAAGGAGAGGACTCACAGGGAAGATCCACTGCAAGGCAAGAGGCACTCGCCAAGCCCACTCATCGTTGCGGTTATTGTAGCCATAGGTTGCGGCGGCGACAATGATTGAACCGATGGACCAACTCATTTGTAGAGTAGCCGTGCAGGCACCTCTCAGGGACAGAGGTACAATCTCACTGGCATAGGCGGGGGAGTTTGCAATGAAGAATCCCCAAGGGACACCTTCTAAGGCTTGGCCCACCACAAGGAGGGTGAGTGAGTTGGCCTAAGTGGAGTTAGAGAATAAGCTCAGCAATTGGGGGATCACGGCTTACAAAGAAGGACACAAAAATCGTGGCATTCATCAACAGCAAAGCGAAGATTGTCGTAAGCCGATACCCTAGCCGGTTGGTTATTGGCCCTGCTAGGAAGACTCCGACGAAAGCACCACATTGGCCAGCTTGGAAGAGGGAGGACTGCCATTTGGTTGGAATAGTTTTACCGTGTCCCTCGACGTCGATACCATAGTGGTTTTTGAAAGCGGTAAGCGCGACAAAGTTACCATTCAGGAACATGTCGAACGACTCCATGACCTGGTTTTGGGTATATCAGCTGATATGTTCTCGAGATATCGAGATCTGGGGGGATCTGGAAACCCCGAAATGCGGGGAAGAAATCAAAAACAAATATAAACTCACGATAGTGAAGCACATGGTAAATGCCCATAAACAAGCCCAGGGATGGCTCTTCATGGCCGCCCACGTAGTCATCTCATGTTCACGGTTCTCGCCATCGAAGGCATCGGTCATGAGATCCGATTTGACCAAAACCTCGGATTGCTCAATGGCGGCCTTCTCGCCATGCACCTCATCACTTTTGTCGAGGCCTGACGACATTTTTTTTTCTTGGAAATGATTGCTATTTCCAGGTCCAAAAGAGAATGGAAATCAAAAGTTCAGAAAAAAATGCAAAACAAGGATAAGCTGGGGTCTTATATCCTTTGACCCCATGTGCGCGTTTCTCGAACTGCACAGTACGTGCGTGATACGTGGATTAATTCTGCCATCTGAGAGCTGGTTAGACAAGTCAGCGATCGGATCAAGCAGGGGTGTAACCCCGACCCGCCGGGGTTTTACCCATTTCCCGAAAGCGAGCACGTTTGGAGAGACAATTTACCCGAAGCTGGGCAGAGGCGCCGAACCTAATGTGCTGGAGGCTTAGCTGCGACTAGAAAAGGTTAGCCATCGCCGAAGGCATTGGGAATTGGCTGCCCAGAGGATTGGTGGCGTTTGCGAGTAACCGGCTTGGGAGAGAAGGCCGGAGGAAGTTTAAATTACAGGAGTCTGGGGCCACTGTGTGACTCTGGGGATTCCCCCATGAAATTTGGGATGCGGGGCCCCGGACGAGAGAGAGAAATAAAAGAATCAAGTTCATTGAAGTGATTGGTTGGGAAATGTGGTTAGATGGATACAAGGTGACAAAAGAACGCAAGCGTTGTCTCAACTATCCCGCTTATAGACTAACGCTTACAGACTAACGGGAACGCCACTGTCTGGTCGGTTAAATGACTGTTGCATTCCACATATCGGTCAGACCCCATTCTCACCTGATCACTTTTTTGGATGCTACCTCTTTCACTAGTGGGATGAATCGGTATTTGTGGGGTGTTGAGGCGGAAGAGGTCAGAGATCTACATCTCGAAAAGCTTGGATATACTGGGAAAGCCGAGGTACTACACCCCCTTTCATGTCAGACTCGGAGAGAAAAAAAAAACACAGGGATAAACAAGCACATCCGTCTTTGTGGTTCAGTTTTCAAGATTTACTAAAGAACGAAAATTGGGCTGGGTATGGAAGTATCAATGGGATACTCGGAATCAAAAATTCGGCAGTGACTATCAAGTCCCTTCCGTAGCCATAGGCTAAAAGGTGTTGTTCGGTCTATTGCTATGACTGCTTCTTGCTCTCATTTTGGATTTGGCCTAATACGTCACAAGAAGATCATGTTAGAAAACACTCTGGATCCATGAGTGATAGTAGCGTCTCTCATCTCCCGAGAAGTTGCTTACTAACAAAGACTACGGAGTACAGGGATATAATTTCCAGTTGTGGATTTTACCTCTCGTTACCAGCAATGAATTATCTTTGTAGTGATCGCTAAGAGCTATAGAGATGGTAGTTGAGCGCATTTTCATGGATCATGACTATGTTTTTGGTCTTACAACTTCTAACGCTGCCGGTAGAGCTCAAGCCCCACACGTGACCCACTTCGACTGAGTTTACTTTACTTTGAATTTGATTTTCTTTCCCCCTCACTTCTTGGTGTCCCTGAGTTGTAGCTCTTATCCATCGGACTAATGCGGTTCGAATGCGATGATAGCCCTGGCATTTGACAAACCAGATAGATCCCCCAAGCTGAAACTTGGAGTGAGACTGTGGGCCGTGAGAAGTGAATCTTATAATGTGGGGAGTCGCCGGATTTGCCAGCCCTGGAGGACCTGTGGCCCAATCGAGCTTATGTAAACATTCCCTCATTGGGTAGCTTTCATGTCGTTCCTCGGAGATTCGTGATTCAATCCCGCGCAAGTCCACTTTTTTAAAACCCATAGGTGGAGATGTATGGAGTAAGTTTAATAAACTAAAATCTAACATGAAAATGGAAGACGGGATACGCTCAAAGCAAGTTCAACGTTGATAGAAGAGAATATGATCCCGGTCCCCGACCCGTAGCAGACACTACGATAACGTTTGAGTTCTTGGTTTACCTGGGCATGGCGCTAAACATGTATTTGTAGACATCAGGAAGACATCAGAAAGACATCAGAAAGACATCAGAAAGACATCAGAAAGACATCAGAAAGACATCAGAAAGATATCAGAAGAGACATCAAATGAAGAGTAGCTTACTAGATATTGAGAGCATTGCTTGTCATATGTAATTTAGTAGACGGTTCGAGTCCAATTGTGCTTGCTATAAATACCACCTACCTCCTCTTTCCTTTTCATCTTCTCTTATTATTTCCCTTTCCACCCCCCCTCCCCTAAATGAGGGGATCCAAGACCCACGCCTTCGACTCTTCGAGTTCTCTCTTGGCTACCAAATGTGGGAGTAGGGTGGTCTAGATGGTTCCAGGCAGCCCTCTCGCACTTATCCTCACTTTGAGAATTATTGGGAGGTACGCCTGCACAAGGACATGAATCTTGCTGAAGATGAAGAAAATGCATTCAAAGCTGACTGCCAAAACTTAATGTGAGACACCATTGATATGGCTGATGCCGTCTGTGGGACGCCACATGATATCGAAACGCCAGAGATCTACCACTTTTTGCATCCCTCGTTTGTCGGTATAGACGAGGCAGCTATGTGCAAACAGGCCGATTCACATCTTGCATTGGCCTATCTATTCCCCATTTGCTTCGGACGTTTGGTGATAAGCAGCAGCTTGGTCCAAATATCACAGGAACTTCTATGGATAATCCCTTCCAGCGGCAAGTGAGGTTGTCGCTCTTTGACTACATGCTGAGGGCAGGGGTATCAGCTGGGAGGCTCAACACTCAACAGCGACTGACTGATGACATACATGTGTTTATAAAACAAAATTTCTACAGCAGCAAGTTGAAATGCAGCCCACAGATCCTGCTCGTGTTGTTGCTAGAATGGTATGCACTTTCAATCGCCGGGATTACAGGATCAACAAGAACATCCTCTGTTTGAACCATAAACACGACAAAGAAGAGCACTTCGGTGACTCCACTTCCTTTTTCAGCCGTGCCCACATCGTCACCGGTATCAATCTCGTCCGCCAACTTCTTGCAGAGGGAATTGTGCACCCTACAGAAGTTTCCATCATCACAGGATACGAGGCTCAGCACAAAGCCTATCTAGCAGCCGTGACCTACTGTCACGAGCATGATGCGCCGGGAAGCGAGGATTGGTTAAATGTCCATGTGCATAAGATCGACACATACCAGGGCAAGGAGGCAAACATTGCCGCCATAGTTGATCTGGTTCGCATGAGCCAGCTCGGATTCATGCGTGAGCCTCAGCGACTCAACGTGGCGTGTAGCCGCGTTCGGTTTGGCCTGTACATTCTATACAACCAAACAGGTATGAAGAATGCTTTGAATCGCACGCCGGCCTTCTTTGTCAAAGCCATGCTTCAGGACATCAGTGAAAATCAACTGTCCTACCCAGCCCCGGCGACAGATTATGAGTCTGAACTTTGAGCTCTGGGATTTCTATGGATGATTATGAGGATTTCATTCGCTTTGAGGAAATAGGAAACACGGGGAAAAATAGAATAGTTAAAACCAATACAAAAAGTGGTGAAGTCTACACATTGTGTGGATGAGCCCGAAAAAATCCAAAAGATCATTGTAGACCTTAGTATTTAGATGTCTTTAGGTGCCTTTTTAGACGTGTTTTAATGGCTTTTTGGGTGTCTTCTGAGATGTCTTCTGAGATAGTAATATTTTGCTTGGAGGAAAGCTCCATTATCTCCTCTTTCCTCCCTCATCCCCGATCGAACCTCCTCCTTCTCCGTCCATCCTATCTCCTCCTTAGAGCAGGCACGGAAGGAACCCAAGTCTACTAACTTGTCTGTCTCCATCATAAAAACTAGCTTCATCCACCTAATCCACTATTTTAACCTCAGTATATCCGATGGATTCCCCATGGCCTGTCGATTCCGGGAGAGCGCATCCGATCCAATATTCTATTATACAGAATATGCTTTGCTTAAATTCTGAAATCCACCGAGCGTAGACAACAAGTCACTTTACCCTTGAGCCAGTCGGCATCGTCAATGAAGGCAAGACATTCATCACGAGATTCTACTGGCTGTCGAGAAACAAAGAAGGCGATGTTCCGATCGATTCCCCGCCGACTATCAAGCTTTCTCGGTATGATCATATTGATCTGATCCCAGTTGTGAACCTCGATATGTCCGTGCACATCATGCAATCCGGTGATCAAGCCCTTTCTATACCATAGATCCTAAAACTCACCCACTGCCATCATGGGATCTTATGTCAATGCAATGGATTTTACAGGGTTTGTCCATTGAGTAGTGCAGCTGAAGTCATGGATAAAAAAAAAAGCGAGCCGGATTCAGATGACGAACTTGCTCTTGAAATTGACTGAGGAAGACATGGGCATTTCCGACATTGAATTCAGTATCTCCGAACCAACAGAAGCATAAGATGACGTAGAGTACTAATGTGTACTATGTCTTCACTGTCACTATCCCAAGCCCTTTGCTTCACAATTCATTACTGGTCTTAGGAGGGTGTTGTTATTATTATGCAAGAAATCATCACGTTACTAGTGAAAGTTGCTGCATTCTATCCTTCTCTTTCGCACATAGCCAAATACATACTACCATAGAGTATGGAAAGAGGACTTTTCTATATAGAACCAGGGGGATTCATTTATAAAAGCCCCATGCCCTAAGAGTTACCCTAACTAGGCTAGTGCATTCTAGCCCCACTGACTCATCCATCTTAGCTTCCAGGGCTGTAGGTACAACATGCCTTCTTGATACCTGGCCATATAGACCATTGGAGATTGTCCTGTTTAGCAGTCAATATTCTGCTTTTCTCATTGGATACCCCTAAAATGGCCCCCAAAGCACTGCAGAGTGTCATAAAGTGGCTCTATGGGCATTCCGAACCTCGAGTTCTCCTTCTCGGAGAGGCGGCTTCTGGGAAGACTACCTTTCTTTCCCAACTTATCCTTGGTCAGGTAGTCTACACAATTCCAACCATGGGCTACTATCTCACACCATTCGACTATAAATGGCGCACATATATGCTCTGGGATACTGGAAGTACGTCAATTCTCCTTTTTTTAGACAACTTATCTTGTTCTAAACGCATACAGTGGGATGCTTTCGGTACCCAAATTGGTTAGCATACTTTTATACCGCAGATACATCCGTCTTGTTTTTCCACGACTGCACCTGGGGTGAGGAATACACACAACAAAGCCTTGATCTCCTCTCTAGCATTGGTAGAGAAATGCTCCATGTGGGTTATAGAAGTTTATGGGTTATCTTAAACAAGCAAGACTCTCTGTCTGCAGAAGGCGTTGATCATATACGCCGGATATACGACAAAAAGTTGAAGGAAATGTTTGATGATCCGGTCAATTGCAAAGTGATTGATTATTTCGTGAGTGCAAAGACCGGGGAAGGGGTCAAGGAGGTTATGGATGATCTACATGTCTTCATGACTGGCATAAAACAAGGTCACCATCAGCAACGAATACCTAAACACATTGCCCAGAAACAGTCCCAGAAAGAGCAGGTATCAGTGGATCATGACCTCAACGTGCGAATCGAAGAGGAAGGCTCCAGAGATAATATGGACCCTCAACAATTTTGGCATTCGTTTTTGAGTGCTAATTTGACGGAGTGGGATCATCGCAGTCACCTCAAATCAGGCTTCATTGTTACCTTGGAGTCAATCAAGGAAGGAAAGAATGTGTTCGATATGGCGGAAACGTTCCTTGGGCATTTAAAGAGACTGAGAACGATGAAACCCGATCTTTTTCGCAACACAGAACATCGGTAAGAAGCCTTGCTAAATCGAGGATCTTTTTTTAAAGGACTTATGCTCAAATATATCCAAGAACAATGACAATATTCTGGCTCACGCAACTGCAGAATGCTATCTTAAAATACAGACTCCATACCGGAAAAGAAGAATTCCCATCCTGGAATGACTTTCAACAAGTCCTCCTCTATACACCATCACTCATGAACACCGGCCTTTGGAGATTATACTACACCAAAGAACATATGTTCTCTGAAGCAGCACGGGAGTCGTGGTCACTTCCTGACCTGCAACCCCTGCCTGGGATATCAAGTCCACATCATGATTCTCCCTCCGGGCAAGTCAGTAACCCGGACCGGCTCCTCCAATACGCCTTTGCAGTTGTCCAATATACTCTAACTTCGGGCTCTCGTCGCGGCCAAGTTGTCAAGGAAGCACTCGATTCGCTAAAGATAACGACAATGCGCATCAGAACGACAAACTCGTCCGTTCCTCCCTATTCCGAAACACAGGGCTATTTCTGGATTCAAGTAGTTCATGCCGCCATCCAATCACTCAAGGCAACCCCAGGCAGTTCAACAGGCGAAAGGTCAATAATTGACATCCCTGCATCACGCATTAGCTCCGCTACTCTTAATGCGCTTTTCGGACTGAACTCATCTACTTGGAGACACCACTACTCTGAGAAAGTCTGGAATAGCATTTCCGCACGCATGGAATTTGTCCAACCAGACCTCAAACCGATACCAAATATTATCACCATCTCATCCCAATCCCAGGAGCAGGCCGCTCTTTTTAAGCAGATGGAGGTCTCTCTCCTACAGAGAAGTCCTGGGCTGCCAACCCTCGAGTGCCTTTCTTTCCAGGCGATCTGGGTCATTCGAGATGTACAAGCACTGGCCGAATCCTCGATGGTAGATTCTCCCAGTATATCGAGCCATTCGCACTTGCTACTCTATTTGTATAGGAAGCTTATACTGGGATCAGAAAATGGCCTGCCAGGAAAGACTGCATTGGAACAAGCAGAGAAAATGTCGGGTCCTCAGTTGGATTCAGTCACCCACAAGATGTTCTGGATTCAAGTTTTCTTAATTGCTATGGCTCGTGCAGAGGCTTCTAGGGGAATGGCCGACAAGCAGACGTCCCGGGAAAAAGTCACATTTGAAGCATTTATCCGAGGCAATCTCCATCTGGTTCATGAAGATTTGCCAAGCTTATATTACACCCCGGAGATCTGGCAAAGTAAAGAGGCATTTGAGGTAATGATTGCGCCTGACAGGAGGAGGATGGATAGGTTTCTCGAATCAAGGCTTAAGGACAAGCTGGAAGAATTTGTTTTTATCTAGTTCATCTCTTTCTTCAAAGCTGAGACATCTCTCAGTCGAGGCACGCTTGAATTTGAAATGGCCCCGTCAGTGGCGATTCGCCGAACAAGAGTCGAATTCCCAGTCTATGTACGACAGTTACGCCCCTATGGTCCTTGGACAACCTGCTGTGGGGATAGAAAGGAGCCTATGTAAGAAATCCTGAATTACGTCATCCTCCTTTAGAAGCCCATCACGATTCATGAATCTACAAACACGGACAGATCGCCCGGTGAGTTTCCGCTAAAATAACTAGTCTAAAGCTTCGACGAAGAACGGAACTCGAGCCAAGTACCTGCTGTCGCTGAGACTATAAATGGAATACCGGAGAAATTACCAGCCTGTCTCTATGGATACAGTCAGAGCTATATGTTAAAAACAGAAAGCTATGGGTTTACCTGAAAGACCCACGTAAATTGCCATTCCGGATGGGTAAAATATTTGGGAGAAGATTCTTATTTTTCACAGGAAGCGTCCAATGCGCAAAGCAAAGACAATTTTTCCTCGACTCGTGTTATACCAGATGTGTACAGATTACACGGCAGAAAAATAATGACGAGCGATGAATCAAGCAGACTGTACAGGTCACTGAAGAACGGAGATCTATATAGCAGAAGGCACGTGATGGATCTACATACGGATGATCTAAATGTGAACAAATAGCAGAGGATGAAGTTGCCCGGTAGGTTCTTTGAAGAAACTGTGAATTAAAAGAGCCTGTATGAAACCCAATGCCACTAGAGACCGTGCTCTTCGTGCAAGCTAATTAAACCTCCGATTCACAGTGGCTCCTCAGCACTAGCTCTGGATAAAAGTCAGAGGCCCCTTTCGAGTGCATCTGCCATATCGCCCAAAGTGTCAAATTTCCAGTCGTACACATGCTCATCAAGGTTTCCCATAATAGACCCGGGCCTGACAATCCAGCTAGAGCGAATCCCCATCTTTCTCGCTGCATGGTGATCATGAAATTGGCTCTGGGCTGTTTGAAGCACTTGCTTCTTGGTGATTCCGAATTTCTCATGCACCGCACGTAGCATAAATTCAAAGTTGCGGGGATCTGGCTTATAGCTTCCAACTTCCTCGGCAGTAATCACAAGGTCGAAAGGGAAGTCTTCCAAGGAGCCCTCGTTAGACCCCTTGAAAGATTCGATATCGACATTAGACAGACAAACAAGCTTGAAATGCTTCTTCAGTCGCTTAAGAGCATCGATGGTATCGGGAAAAGCAGGCCAGCTTCGTACAGACCTGCCGAATGCAGCGCTTTGCTCCGGGGTTGGCTCGGGAAGTCCAAGACGCTTCGCCATCTGAGGATAAATGGTAGCGACCAAGTCGGCATACTTCATTTTTGGTGTCTTGCTTTGCTGAAGCTTTTCGCATTCATAGTAAGCGTCGAGGATTTGGCTCCGACTTGGATGAACCCCGCTAGCTTCCATCAGAGGCTTAAAGCCATTTAGTGTTCCAGTCTCCCAGTCGATAAGTGTGCCGTACACGTCAAACGAGAGGAGACGATAGTTGGAAAGTGAGGTCATGTTTTCTTTTGTTCTCGTTCGGAAAACAATTGATATTGTGGCCGGAGGCTCAAAGAGGTTATCGGTGGAGCAAAGAGAGTTGATGCCTCGAGATATTCAGGTCTGTCAAAATGCTGTCCTTGAGATGATGAGCGGAGATGGGATGATCTATATTTATGTGCCTGTTGAGAGACTGAGGGGCTTGGGGCAACTTTGCGACGATAATGGGGCCTCTGCACTTCTCTTCCCCATTTTCCCCGGCTTCCTTTCCACCGGTAAATTGACAAGGCGCATCGGATCGGAGACCCATTTCCTTTACCCCAGGAAGCACTGGTATCCTACAACGCTTGCCATTGCTTTGTAAATATTTTACCATGAGCACCACCTGGCCTTGGGACAGGCAAACATCCGGGCCGGCACAGCCACTCATCCGGATCATGGGGCCGCTACTCATCCGGCTAGTGGGCAATTATCCGGTGGATCAGCGAGCTGTGCGCCAAGCAAGTACTTTACTGTTGCCAGATTGGAAATAGATTCCGGGAAGCACTCGGCTAGGTCCAGCGCAACATCCGTGCCATAGTCCCGGCGCCGGGAGACGTCCAAGCTCTATGGTCGCATGATGTAGTTATTCCTCAGTAGGCGCGCGGATTTATATGTATATATCTCATCGTGAACTATAGACCCGAGCTCTTATGAACTTTTCTCATATTTCCCACCTCATTAGACATGAATTCCACGCAAGCATCTCGTCTCCCGGTCTCAAACCCCGTACAGTCGTTCTGGAATGCAGACCCAAAGAAGTTTGATGACTATCAAAGTACTTCTGCACTACCCTCTGTGGCTGACTTTGTCGTCATTGGGTCAGGCCTTTCAGGTGTTGCTACATCTTATTATCTTCTGAAAGATAATCCCAATCTCCCTTCTGTGGTGCTTCTTGAGGCAAGACAGATTTGCTCTGGTGCAACCGGCCGCAATGGAGGGCATGTTAAACCTGACACATACTCCGACATACCTAAATTTGCGAAGCTTCTCGGCATAGAAGCTGCATCTCAATTGGCCGAGTTCGAGGCGTCACATGTCCACGCAGTTAAAGAACTGGTAGAGACGGAGAAGATTGATTGCGATTTCCACATGACCAGAGCACTTGATGTTTATCTGGATGCGGATCACGCCAATGAAGTTGAATCAACATACAAATCTCTCGAGGAACTGGACATTCTCAATTTGCGCGATGTAGCAGTGACTTCAGGAAAGGCTGCGGAGCGGGTACGTGTTTATGAGCTGCATGAAAGTACCAAGCTAATTAAATCCATCATGCAAAGATATCCGGCGTGAAGAATGCAAAATGCTGTGTGTCCTACACTGCAGCTCACCTGTGGCCATCCAAGCTTGTGCACCAGCTTGTCGCGAGACTAGTCCATCAAGGTTTAAACCTGCAGGCCCATACAGCCGTTTTGTCGGTGTGTCCATCTAAAGATCAAGATTATCTGTGGACTGTGAGAAGCTCCAGGGGCGAAATCAAAGCAAAGAAAGTGGTGCATGCTACCAATGCCTATGCATCCTCAATCTTGCCGGAATATACCAATGCTATAACACCTGTCCGAGGCATCTGTGGCCACATCGAAAGCCCCTTAGGCACTAATACGCCTCATTTGATCAACACATACGGAATCCGGTTTGACACAGTGAATAACGACTACTTGATTCCCCGTGCCGACGGAAGCATTATCGTTGGTGGGGCCAGACAAGTGTTCTGGCATCAAAAAGATCGATGGTTTGACAATGTCAAGGACGATGAAACGATCGAGGAGGCGGCAACGTACTTCCATGACTATATGCAACGTCACTTTCAAGGATGGGAAAAGAGTCAGATGAAAACCACAAGAATCTGGTCAGGAAGTAAGTCAAAAACGTGAAACACTATGGTTGACGTACAACTAATGGTAGCAATCACTCATGATATAGTCTTGGGTTATAGTTCGGATTTTATGCCGCATGTTGGCGAGGTGCCAGGAAAGAATGGACAATTCATCATTGCTGGATTTACAGGATACGGAATGCCCAAGATTCTTCTATCTGCCAAGAATCTGGCCGCCATGATCAATACTGGCATTCCCTTCGAGCAAACAGGGTTACCGCAGGCTTTCAAGAGTACCAAAGAGAGAATTGAGTCCAAGGATAATATTATGAAAGACTCATACAACTCACTTTGGACCAACAATGCAAAGCTATAAATATGCCTTGCTCTCATCTGTTTTCTGAGACATTCCGAGGAGAGTCCTCCCAATACTGACAGTATTGAGAGAAACGGTACTTTTGATTGGGTGGTAGTTCCGAATGGACAGGTCTCGCATTCGTTCGTCGGTATGCAATGATTCTAGCGGCTGCTCACCCAAATCCAGACGAGATCTCTCTCAATAAATAGTGCTTATCGAGTCTGGGCCGGGCAGATAGTCTACATACAGCAGTGAGATAAAATCGAATGACAGTTTTCCAACGACCACCTTACCTTTCCTTTTCTTACTTGCCTATTCAAGTGGCAATAAACGTCATCTCGCTCAAGATGTTTATTTTTGCTACAAAACACGCTGTCGTGCACGATTTTCATGTATCGCACAAAGTAGTATGAATTGAAAATTCCATGAAAGGCTGTGATTACGGGGTCCATAGATCAACCATGGGCTCTTATTGAGCGAAATCTTACAATTGCAGGCATTTCCTATCAGTTCAGTCAATTAGCCTGAACCCTCAGAGGCACCGATATTTTCTCCGAGCTGATAAAACATAGCAGCTTTAATGTTGCATCTTACGCCCCTTTCGCTAGAAGACCTGAGCCGTAGATATCAAAAGCGAATTCTACATGAATTCTTAGAAACAAGCCATCCATGATCTCTTGGAATATTTTATTCTACTCGCGCCAAGCTACGGGTGAAGAAGCTGGTCATTTCGGGAGGGCTGCCGACAATCATGGGTCCCTTCTTAGAGGTAGCCAATGGGAAGTTGTTACTCTGCTCATGAATCATACTCCACCATACTCCACTGCCCCTCACAGAGAACCAGGGGGCGTTGGCAAGTCCTCACGGGACTGAAAGTATGTTCTGGAGCCAGATGGGACCCCGCTTAAAGTAATTATTTGAGCTTTCGTCACCCTCAATTGTCAAACGTGCAGGGTATATGAGGTTATCAGTTACGTATGTGCTAGGTGGTTCATATTGGAAAACGCGGCGCAGAAACAAACATGGCCAGGGAGGGTTGCAGAGCGAGACGCCGCCGTGTCGCTGATAAAGACCGGAAACGTGCTGCGCGCGCGTAAGTAATTTTCATTCTACAGAATGAACATACCTGAGACTTCGCAGATGTGACTTGTGTCGCCAGCAAAAAGAGAAGTGTGAAGGGGGTATACCCTGCACAAGGTGCGTACGGCTACATCGTGAATGCATGTTGTCCATATCGCTTGAGAGCCGGCACTCATCCGATTTGGTTCCTCCTGTTACAATCGAGTCGCCTCCACCACCCGGTCAACCCCAACCCACTACGGCAGAAACTGGTAACGAAACCGATCTTTCCGAGCTCTTGCAGAGACTGTTCTACTTGGAGAATATTGTTCGATACAAATTTGGTGTCCAAAATTTGGACTTGCAAGCTCTTCGGGCCTTAGCTTCGGAAGCACAGCAGGATGCGTCGATCGGCTCGGGCGGTAACATGGCACCTGGCCGTGGGATTGCCGCAGTAGACGAAAAATGCAGTATCCAACCCATCGAACATAACGTCGCCCGTCAGCATACTCATTCATCGACTCGCCAACTGTGAAGCTAATATGGAGTGCAGACTTCTCCGGTGAACATTCACATTGGAATTTTTCTATGCAAATCAAAAGATGGATCAAGCAAAACATCTCCCTAAACGTACGTCACGGCGGTGTTACCTTTTCTTAGAAAGATAATCTCGTCGGACTGACACGCGGTGGTAGGCTCGTATACCAGTGGAAGGCTTGACGGAGTTCTGGCGTTTTAAAGATTTGCAATGCCTTTCTAGCACGCTGGCTGCAGTTTCCTCGCTTCCCCCTCGGTTCATTGCTGATTTTCTTATACATTGCTTTTTCAAACACGCCATGACGAATTATTTCTATGTTGATCGGGACTGGCTCTTCACCAAACTCGACACAGCCTATTCCTCCTCCTCATCCCTTGGTCAAAACGACGCAGGCACAATGTGCACAATATTTTGTATTTTTGCAATCGGTACGCATTACGCTCATCTAGAAGCAAATGACGGCGACACGACGGGTTCTTTCACGCACCATCCTTCGAACGTGACTCCGTTCACAGGAGAGTCCGCAAGTCTGGTCTTCTACCATGAAGCATGTCGCTTATTGCCAGATGTGATCACGATAGCATCTCTAGAAAGCGTTCAAGCATGCTTGATCCTTGCCGTGTTTGCGCTACCTCTTGATGCATCTGGATTAGCTTGGACTTATCTTGGCCTTGCTAGCAAACTTGCTGTTTTGAATGGTATGCACAGAAAATGCTCTGAGGACTGCTTTGATTTGCAAACCCGGGAATTTAGAAACAAGCTTTGGAGGACTATAAGCTCCCTTGAAAGGCATGGACCATATTTCAAATTATGCCCCGCGACTCTTTTCATAACACTTTGTTCGTATGGAGGAGCATACTAATTTTGAGCAGGCGAATCGGCATATTTCATGGCCGGCCGGCCTCAACCGATCAGATTGGGATAGGCGCAGATGTATCAGTCAATCAGCATTCGAGTGGCGCTGCGACGCCTTCGCCACTGTCGTGTGTCGAAGCCACACTACGTTTGAATGAAATGCTCAACCGGTTAGCCTGGGAAATGTAATCTCCTCCCTTGAATATCATGCGCGCTCCCTAACCACTTTCTCAAGGTCGTCTCTGAAGCGGTTTTCCTGTGCAGACGCACTTCACTGGGGCCTAGACCGACTGAGTCAATCTCAAGGTGAACTTGTGGCTTGGTGGGATTGTCTTCCAACCAGTCTGTCTCGACCTGAACTTTCCTCGTCCACTCTCGATATACGTCCCATTGCCCATCTCAAACTTGAATATTGTCTTGTGCGCATGTTCATCGGGCGAAATTTCCTTTTTCCAGAGGAATGTTTACGAAGTGAGATAATGGACTCAATGGATTGCAGAGATCCTGGGTCTTCAGCATCTCTGATGGATCCGAATATCCTAAAATCACATTTTATCGACAACTGTGTTGATGCTGCGCTTGGAGCGATTGAGACGTGCCGCTTCCTAAAGAATACGATAGGCCTGGCGCGAGCATCGTACACTGAGTTTAGCTCATGTCGAGCGGCCCTGTTGATCATTGCCATTCAGTGTTTTCAGACAGGAAGCCGGAAATATAGGCATAGTCTTCGCGAAGGCTTGATTATGCTCAAAGAAATGGCGTCTTGGGCAGAGCTAGCCCGTGTTGAAGCGTCACTGATCGATGCTTTTGAAAAAGTCCTTATAAACATGGATGCCACTCAGAACGAAATCTCGGCCGATGAATCAGGATTCATGGAATTTAAACGATGGGAGAATATGTGGAAAGAAAACACATCTGCTACGGATTCTTTTAACCTGGTTGGCCAAGATGGCATGGCTCAGATGACAGATCCCTCGTGGCAGGACTGGCCGAATATCAGGGAGTCCACATCTTTGAATTTGGATGATATTGATTCGTTTCCAATGCTTGAGCCCCGAGGACAGAGGGGGCTGATCCATCAACCACGGACATGTGAGGATTTGTCAACTCTTTTGGGTTTCAGCTTCCAATCCTCTTAAGCCTCCAAGCACCATCGTTGCATAGTACAGCCGAGTACTTTCCCAGAATTTCGAGTATTTACATCTGAGTGACTGCTCAAAATTTACTCTGAGTAGCATTGACAAGAGCCTGAGCAATGCATAATTCAAGGGACTTTTTCTTTCGGGCGACTGTATGCCCTTGGTTGCTCGGCAGGAAAAATCACAGTCTCTGTCGTCAAGCGGCCTCTGAAATATGGACTAAAGTCCCTTTTGTGCTTTGTAGAATCAAAGCTAAAGCTGAGATTGAATCAATGTATGATAAGAGCAATCCCATGGCGTAATCATTTTCATCCTGGACCAGACCTTTCAGTTAAGACGTGATAATAGGGGAATCAAATTGAGCCATGCGGATCTTTGAATAGGTGAGAATCTCGCCCCTATAGACTATTTTAAACAAGCTAAGATCAGCCGGGATTCACAAGGTGACGTGGGGAAATTAGATTGAACACGAGCCAACGCAAGTACCAAATATGGATGTAGGTAATTAAGTGTGTCCTGGCCGAGGAGGCGGTCGATCGCTTTCGCCTTGACGGCCTGAACCTTGGCCCTTCGATGGATAGAAGGATTATTTCACTTCATAACTGCCAGATTGCGATCAGGGCCAGCAAGCTTCTTTATATAGGTAGAATAGGCGGTCCATCGGTCTAGTACTCGTCTCTCGGAAGCTTGCCTCTTTTAGGGCTTCGAAATGATCATTACAGAGACGTATTCATATATATAATAAACAATAGGGTTGCTGGCCCGAGGGTACCGAGGTAAACAGGACACACTCGTCACTGCTTTTTTTAGACATAGAAGGTGGCGATGTGTAGGTACCAAGTAGACTAGTGCTTCAGATGGTGGTAGACCAGCCAATGGTATATGCTTCACGTTAGCTTAGAAGGTCAAACAAAGTATGATTCTCACCCTAGCTCACCCTGTCTATTACGCACTCACCCTAATCACCTGAGTCGCGCGACGCTAAAGCGGCACTCGCCTTATTCTCACCTGGACGGCACCTACCGCCCTACTGTCTGTGTTTTAGCCATACGCCGGTAAGTTAGTAGTTGGGTAGGTGACTACCAGCGAATCCTTACTATTTTATGTATTTTTGGTTTTTTGGGTTGTTTTTCTTTTTGCTATTTGTGTTTCTATACTACTCTACAAGCGGAAGAGTCTCATATGTTCGGATTTTAATGCATAAGAGGTGAATGAGGGTCTAGTCACGAGAACTGAAAGTCAAGACTAATATCGTGGAGCAATAGAAACAGAAGTAGGTTCCATTTGAGACCAAATATTAAAAGGAAAAAACCAAACATAGGGGGAATGCAATCAGATATGAAGTTCAGTCAGAGGGAAATGATTATATTGGCTATAAATTTGAGGATAATTCATATATATATATATAGACTCCTATATACTCCTAGGTATACCTACGTTGTAAATGTATCATTGCAGAACGGTGAACGGTGGAGTATAAACCTCAAATCACGCCATCTGCACCCCGCCATCTTAGATCGTCCCTCGTCCCTCTTCCCTTTTCTACTTGAGCTTCTTTGTTTTCTTCGATTCAATCTCAAGTATCCGACTGTCTGACATTCTATCCTAAATTCAGATAACTTCCCCGCATTTTTTAAACCATGTCTGAGAATCTCCACTTTGACACTCTACAGCTTCATGCTGGGTAAGTGTCCAATTCCCCAATGAAAGAAAAATCTAACACAAAGCTCAAGTCACGAACCTGATTCAGCCACGAACTCACGCGCTGTCCCAATTTATGCAACTAGCTCTTATGTCTTCAATGACTCAGCCCACGGCGCGAGGCTCTTCGGCCTCAAGGAGTTCGGCAACATCTACAGCCGAATCATGAACCCTACAGTCGACGTCTTCGAGAAGCGAATTGCAGCTCTGGAAGGTGGTGTTGCTGCCGTTGCAGCCTCCTCTGGCCAGGCAGCTCAATTCATGGCCATCTCGGCCCTCGCCCATGCCGGAGACAACATCGTCTCCACGAGCAACCTATACGGCGGCACCTACAACCAGTTCAAGGTTATGCTCCCGCGCATGGGAATTACTACCAAGTTTATCCAGGGTGACAAGCCCGAGGATATCGCCGCGGCTATTGATGATCGTACCAAGGCTGTTTATATCGAGTCTATTGGTAACCCCCGCTACAATGTTCCGGACTTTGAGGCCATTGCCAAGGTTGCACACGAGAAGGGTGTCCCAGTTGTGGTATGTTATTTGCTTGGAAATTGCGCAAGGATGTAAAGCTTACGAATCTTACTTCTAGGTCGATAACACCTTCGGCGCAGGTGGCTACTTCGTTCGCCCAATTGACCACGGTGCCGATATTGTCGTGCACAGCGCTACAAAGTGGATCGGTGGCCATGGTACCACCATCGGCGGAGTCGTGGTTGACAGTGGAAAGTTTGACTGGGGCAAGAATGCTGCCCGGTTCCCCCAATTTGTCGAGCCATCCGAGGGTTACCACGGGTTGAAGTTCTGGGAGACCTTCGGCTCGCTTGCTTTTGCTATCCGAGTGCGCGTGGAGATCCTGCGTGACATTGGTTCTGCCCTGAACCCCTTCGCTGCCCAGCAGTTGATCCTCGGTCTGGAGACTCTGAGTTTGCGATGCGAGCGACATGCAACTAACGCTACCGCCCTGGCTAAATGGTTGCAGACAAACGAGAATGTGAGCTGGGTGTCATACCCCGGTCTGGAGGATCACCCTAGTCACGATCTCGCAAAGAAGTACCTACCCCGTGGCTTTGGGGGTGTGTTGTCTGTGGGCATCAAGGGTGGCGCTGCCGCTGGTTCTCAGGTTGTTGATAACTTCAAGTTGATCTCGAACCTTGCCAAGTATGATTCATTCCCATTCGCTCCCCTTCGAGGCATTCTACTGATACACTGCAGTGTCGGCGATTCCAAGACTCTGGCCATCCACCCTTGGTCCACCACCCACGAGCAGCTCACGGAGCAGGAGCGTCGTGACTCCGGTGTTAAGGAGGATGCGATCCGCATCTCGGTTGGTACAGAGTACATTGGCGATATAATTGCTGACTTTGAGCAGTCGTTCCAGGCATCAAAGGCTCTGCCGGATCGTACTGCTTGAAGACTCTGACACATGTGGATGGACCTGTGCATAAAGATGGAAAATACTAGAACGCTACATAGCAACATAGTAGTTAAACTTAGTGATGACCTCGACACGATATCAATGAACAATTTTACAATTTCACAAGATACATACTACTACACGTCCGTAGACAAAGCTGAGCCGAAAAACCTTTACAGTCACAAGGGAAACCATTAGGTTATGTTAATGAGTTATTTGATTTCTCTCATAAAGTTTGTTTCATCCGAATGTGTCCACCATATTCAATCACCATTGGTGAAGACCTCATGCACAGCCGTGGGAATTAAAAAAGTAAGAGAAGTGCAGAAATAACGAAAACCTCCCCCCGCCGAATGATATGCCTCGAGATAATGCCTCAAGAAAAAAAAGTCCAATCCCCCAACGCCTTTGCCATGCGCGGTGCGCGCAGCCTATTCGGACCATATGCACGCATCAATGAGGAAAGAAAAATCAGTTACCCTGACCACCGGAAGGAGGCTGAGCACCGGGCATACCGGGCTGACCACCCATCATGAATCCGGGAGGTAGCATGGGCATGCTGGCAAAGTTGAAACCATAGGAAGGAACTGCAGGTGCAGCTCCCTGGTTGTTCATGTTAGGCATGTCAAGTTCTCCACCACCCATCTGGGGACCACCACCGTATCCATCACGCTCAGGACGACGACCGCCGAAACGAGTATCCTGGGGGTTAGGGTTGGTGCGAGTGGAAATTGGGCCACGCTTGCCGCCAGTGTCAGTGGCGATGCGACGGCTGATAGCCTTGGAGGAGACACCTGCGCCGATTTCAATGTCGGGCTCCTCAACAATCATTCCAGATTCAATAGGACGTCCACCAGTTCCACCATACTCCGCAGAAAGCATCCACTTGCGATCAGCCTCCGTCAAACGCTCAATTGGAATTATGCTAACTCCAGTTTGGTAGTCGCTGCAGTCACGGGGACCAAAGCCAACACCCCAACGAGTCTATATTGATAAGGTTAGTGATAAGATCCAAGATAAGGTCCAATCACCCACGAGGGGATAACCAGAAAAAAAAAAAACGAAGAAAAAGACTTACCCTGAGTTGCATCTCGCCGGTACGGTAAGACTCCATTCCATCACGTGCCTGCATGGCATCGGTGCGGCTAACCATCTTAATAAAAGCGTGGCGCTTGTCCACGTTGACAATGCAAGTTTGAACAATGCCAAACTGACCAAAGAGCTGACGCAGGTGAGCCTCAGAGGAGGTGACACCACCAACGAAAAGAGTTCGGCTCAAGACTTTGATCATACCCTGACCAATCGAATAGTCCCATTCAATGAACTTGGGTCCAGGGGGAGGCAAGTTAGGATCCTTGTTACGAGCAGGCGAAGGCGAGCGACGTCTACCACCACGACCACCAGGAGGGCTACGTTGGCGATACTCATTACCACGGCGACCGCGTACATCACGCGGGTCTCCACGACGACCAGGTGATTCACCATATTCTCCATAAACAGGGCTGTCACGACGGCGAGGAGGCGAAGCAGTACGGCGTCTATCCCAGCCAGGAGAGCGAGAACGACGACGATATCCAGTGGGCGGCGAGCGAGGGTATTCACGGCCACGATCATCCTTATTCTGGGCGTCCGAGTGACCCCATCCACCAACATTCTGTCCTTGCATCGGGTTGAACCCAGCCATTGGTCCACCAGGCATCGCAGGCATACCAGGCATGCCCGGCATACCGCCCATGCCACCATTGTTGGTCATACTGAAGAGCTGCAAAGCAGTTCCCCACTGGTCCTGAGGGATACCCTGAGCAGCGAGCATCTGAAGAAGTTGGAGCTGTTGTGCCATGGCGTTCGAATCGGGTGCGGCAGGCTGCGCAGCCTGAGGAAGCATTGCGGTCAACGGGTTCGCGGCGGGCATCGAGATCGGAGTTCCACTCTGACTCTGCGGCTGGAGAGCAGGGTTCTGACCCATGCCGGGCATACCTGCGAAGGGAGGCGCGACAGGTCCACCGGCGCCGAGTGCACTCATAGCAGCAGCCATGTGCGAGCTCGGATCATTGGCAGGGGTCACAGATGCCGAGTTGAAAGCACCCATAGGGTTGGCCGGCGCAAGGGACGAAGGAGCAGCAGGCGCGGTAGTGTTCTGCTTGGCCATATCGGCCAAAGCTTTCAGGATGCTCGAGGTATCAGGTGCTGCCGGCTGTTGCGGGATTCCGATCGGGTTGGCGTTCGGCGCAGGGGATCCTTCGGGGGTGTTCGATTCGACGTCTAGTGAAATGTGAGTATCGGCGGCATATATTGCCATCCTTGAGGGCTTACTTTGAGCAGCATTCAATTTCTCCTTGAATGAAATGAGCATCGGGGTCGGGAAAGTCACACCACGTTCCCAAATGTCAACCAGCTTCTTGATCTTGTCCTAAATTGTGACAGAGTATATGTGAGTTACATGTTCCAAACAGTCTGGTCAAGGCAGCGTGATCTTCGGATTGAAGTACATCGGGGCAAGGATACAATATGCAAGGCTTGGCAATTGCCAAGGCTGCGATGGTGGAGGTATGAGGTTTATCATGATACAGGTGTGTTGTCCTATTGCGTACCTTTTGGTCATGGGGAGCGTTATTGATGATATCTGTCATCAGGATGGGGAGGAGATCAGTGACACGCTTGACACCAGCAGCGAAGGTTCCATCAGGCGCATCGCCGCCAGGAACCTGACCGGCCTTGCGCGCGGCCTCTACCCATTGCCGAGTTACTGAGTCTACCACATAGAGCACACCCAGCTTGTGGGAGCCCGGGGCCTTCTTGAAGTGAGTGTAAATTTTCTGAATGAGAACTGATTCGTTCTGTGTGCAGGGTTAGCATATCATCAATCACGCCGGGACCAATGAGATGAATCAATCGACCAAAGGGGACAAGCGTACCTGCACGTTGGCATTGCACAAATTTGTGATGCCACCAATCTTTGAGCCGGATACGCCAGGCGGCTTGAGAGCCAGCATGGATTGGAGAAGATTCTCCAGTTCAGCTACTGCGGAAGACATGGCGGGAAATACTACCGTGAAGTCCACGTGTAAGGGGAGACGCAAAAGAAGGAATGAAAAGAGGTCTCGTCAAGGCTTTATGCAGATGGGAGGAAGCAATCGAGAGGTCCCGGCTACTGCGCTTTGTGACGCGACGGACAATCTCTCGGTATGAAAAGAAGATATGTTTAATCGAGTCCCTGGCGATTCTTCACTACAGACTCCACGAGCGCATTCACTGTCGACCAGAGAATAGCCGCCTACAGCTGGAATACAGCCTAGCGATATTGTGTCCAGGAAGGGCTGCCTGGCGCCGAGTACGAGAGTACGGGGAGTACGAGAGATGTACAGCCTAGAGCGTCTTTTTTTTGCAGTGAGATCCCAGAGAAAAACCAGATCAGGGTTTACGGAGTCCAAAAGGATCCAGTGAAGTTCAGCGCAGCCAGCGGATGAACTGAGGTCAAGAAACTGATAAAATCGAAGGGAAGAAGAATGCTGAGATGGGGGGATGAAGATGAAGATGAAGATTAATGGAAGGATCATCAAAGGGGACAGCAGAGTCTGCGACTGGCGCTAGTCCTCTCAAGGATGAATCACGTGCTGATTGCAATTTGCGTCTTTGGCTGTAGTCCGTAACCGGAGGCATTGGATCTGATATCTGAAGTTGAAGACTTGACAAGGCGGCTAAAAGGGAGGCCGAGGTGACTGTAGTTAAACCCTAAAAACCGCAAGGCTCGTGTTAATAAACATTAAGTTTTCAAATGTTGACCTTGAACTATGTTGTAGGTCCTACTCCGTACATGTGTTTTCATTGTCTTTCTTTCTTTCTGTATCATACATATTATTTGGTTGGCGGTTATACGGCTTAGATCTCTATTGAAGTGGGAAAAAGAGCTAAACAATGGGAATTGAGATTTGTTTGATTCCAGTGAAAGACTTCTCAAACAATAATAAAGAATAACATCTTACAAAGTACATTATTACATCTGATTGCAGCTGATGAGCCGAGGGACCCGTGGACATCTCATCCCTTTCTACCAATACATTTCTGCCCCTGGATGCCGCCCTTAGCTCCCGACCTCGGTGACCCATTTCAGAAAGGCCATTGTACAACATCTACCTACATGTCTATAGATGTTGTACAACGATACCCCTGGAATTTGCGATCTACAATGTTCTAGAGGTCATGATAGCATCGGATGCATTGGCATGTATACACATGTACCAATTTCCATCTGATAAGCTCCAACCGAGGGTTTGCCATATCGGACGGATGGCGGCACGGAAGAAAATGGCGACTTTCCGACGTCATTGCCTGCCGCTCAGGGATACGATTGTGAACTGTATTGTACTGTGAAATTTAGAAACATGGGAACCGGGGCAATAGTGTGGGAGGATTTGATTACGTACCTACGGAGTAGTCTGGAGTTACCTAGGTACCTAGGTATATTGAAATTAATAAATTGTTACATTTTCTCTGAGTTATACTGATCTTCTTATATAAATACAATAATCTCTTAAATCTACATAGGATGTATGTAGCGTTACTATAGTATACAAGTAGAAAAGAACACATATCCCCCGATTCAATCTCCGTATTTCGCAATCTGCTACGTAGTGAACATCGCAGTTGATCTGCCGGCAGCCCGAGCCCGTGCTCTTCCGTACCGTTGGGGAAAAATTACTCCGTACAGTATTACGGTTTTGAAGACCTCGGGAGCTGAAGGTGACTGAGCTGTGACTGAGCTTCCACGGCGTCCCGAAAGTAGTTACCGTACCGACCGTACCGACTGTACCGGCTGTAATACGGCCAAATGGGAAAAAAACCGAGAAAATTCCAGGCGCAAAAGAGCTCCTCCCCGAATTCTTTCCTTTCTTTCTTCTTCTCCCCCAGGCTTTGTGACCACTTCTCCATTCCTCCATATTACCCATCCCACATATCCTGTCTGATTCGATATGGCTTCTTCCCTCAGAATCGGTACTACCGCTCTCCGGTCTTCCATCGTGAAGCCGGTGCAGTCCGCCGCCTTCAATGGCGTGCGCTGCTACTCTTCCAAGGTTAAGGTATGATGCTCCGTCTTCAGATTTTAACTCAGATTCAATAGAATGCTAACCTAGTTTCATTGTCTAGTCGCTCAAGGACACCTTCGCCGACAACCTGCCCGCCGAGATCGAGAAGGTCAAGAAGCTCCGCAAGTATGTGATGCGCCCTTGTGTTCAAAATCAAACAACAGCTGATCATGGTATTCAATCGTTTCAGGGAGCACGGCAGCAAGGTCATTGGTGAGGTTACCCTCGACCAGGCCTACGGTGGTGCCCGTGGTATCAAGTCCCTCGTTTGGGAGGTAAGATGAGAAATCCCACCGCCCCTGGCAAATGATGACGCTAACCTTGTTTTTTGGTTATTAGGGCTCCGTCCTCGACTCTGAGGAGGGTATCCGTTTCCGTGGCTACACTGTAGGTCTTTATCGAGTCGGGTATCGGTTCCTGCTTGCTAACTGTTATTTCTAGATCCCCGAGTGCCAGAAGCTCCTGCCCAAGGCTCCCGGTGGTGAGGAGCCCCTGCCTGAGGGTCTCTTCTGGCTTCTGTTGACCGGCGAGATCCCCTCCGAGCAGCAGGTCCGCAACCTGTCTGCTGAGTGGGCTGCCCGCTCCGATGTTCCCAAGTTCGTTGAGGAGCTTATCGATCGTTGCCCCAACACCCTCCACCCCATGGCCCAGTTCTCTCTGGCCGTGACCGCTCTCGAGCACGAGTCTGCCTTCGCCAAGGCCTACGCCAAGGGTGTCAACAAGAAGGAGTACTGGACCTACACCTTCGAGGACTCCATGGACCTCATCGCTAAGCTGCCCACCATTGCTTCCCGCATCTACCGCAACGTCTTCAAAGATGGCAAGGTCGCCCCTGTCCAGAAGGACAAGGATTACTCCTTCAACTTGGCCAACCAGCTTGGCTTCGGCGGCAACAAGGACTTTGTTGAGCTGATGCGTCTGTACCTGACCATCCACTCCGACCACGAGGGTGGTAACGTCAGCGCCCACACCACCCACTTGGTTGGTAGTGCTCTGAGCTCCCCCATGCTCTCTCTGTCCGCTGGTCTCCAGGGTCTTGCCGGTCCCCTTCACGGTCTCGCTAACCAGGAGGTCCTGAACTGGATCACCAAGATGAAGGAGTCCGTCGGCAGCGACATCAGTGACCAGTCCATCAAGGACTACCTCTGGGCCACCCTTAACAGCGGCCAGGTCGTCCCCGGTTACGGCCACGCCGTTCTGCGCAAGACTGACCCCCGTTACGTCTCCCAGCGCGAGTTTGCTCTCCGCAAGCTGCCCGATGACCCTCTGTTCAAGCTGGTCAGCCAGGTCTACAAGATCGCCCCCGGTGTTCTGACCGAGCACGGCAAGACCAAGAACCCCTACCCCAACGTCGATGCCCACTCTGGAGTCCTCCTCCAGTACTACGGTTTGACCGAGGCTAACTACTACACCGTCCTGTTCGGTGTGTCCCGTGCCATTGGTGTCCTCCCCCAGCTGATCATCGACCGTGCTCTCGGTATGCCCATTGAGCGCCCCAAGTCTTTCAGCACTGAGGCCTACGCCAAGTTGGTTGGTGCTAAGCTTTAAGCGCATGAATTTTCCCCATCTCTTTTTTTTTTTAATATCATCCTTGGGGCCCGTTGAAAACCCGAGTTAGACATTTGTATTATCTCCTTTGTTTGACCGAGAGAGTCTTTGGTTATTTTCATGTTGTATGATAGGGACTTGATCGGTTCGAGCGGGCCTTGTAACAGAACTTCCATGTCAAAATCATTTATGATTTCCATTCTATTTTTGGTCAAACAAAGTACCTTGCAGAAAGGAGTTACTCCGTAATTGTATGCATACAACATATGTACTCCGTAGTCAGCGTTCAAAAAATCCAAAAGTAGTCCCAGGACTCAAAGGTACAGCGTAAGATATCACACGGTCTGACAACTACCTGTGTTGAATCGATCACATGCGGATATTGTTGGGACACTCAACGTCTCCACATGTCAACAGAGAATATGAAAGTACAGGACGGAGTATATAATATATAACATACATAACATATATTATAATGTATGTTGTATAGAATTCTATATTAATATTGAAATAGATATATAAAAATGTAAAAATAAACAAACAAAACTCCGAATCACTTTGGGAACTCCGAAATGCGCAGTGGGTTTTCCGGTATGGGAGGTACCGAGTACCCAATAGTATAAGTGGGAACTCTGGAGATCGGCTGTACCTACGACTTGTCCCCCCAGCTTATTGGATTTCCCCGATCCCTATAAGATACCCCTTCCTCATCTCTCCTCTTTCTTCCATTCATACTTTCATACTTCCGATTTCTCTTTCCCGACTTTTTTAGTCTTCTTAAACGCACGAAGCCCCCTATATCCCTTGGTCAGGGCCCCTTTCAGCGCATCTATCATCCTAGAATGTCTACAACTACGTCCGCGGCTTCGGCCCCTGCGCTCGAGAAGAAGCCCGTCAAGTTCAGCAACTTGTTGCTGGGCGCAGGATTGAACTTGTTTGAAGTCACATCATTGGGACAGGTACGGCATACCTCAATCATCATTCAGTAATACAACTAACCATCCCAAAGCCGCTGGAGGTGATCAAGACGACCATGGCCGCAAACCGGGGCGATAGCTTCGCGGGCGCTATGGGTCGGATTTGGGGCCGTGGCGGCATTTTCGGTTGTAAGTGTCCATTCAATACCCGCTTCTAAATCTATTCAATACCCGCTTCCAATTTCTCCCCCCGACCTGCCTAGCGCGTGGGGGTCGGACCCGCCAGATATGAAGGACTCAAAAACTAATTGCGAGATCGGATGTTTAGACTACCAGGGACTCATTCCGTGGGCCTGGATTGAGGCATCCACCAAGGGTGCGGTTCTCCTCTTCGTCGCCTCCGAGGCCGAATACTATGCCCGCTCCTTCGGTGCCAATGACTTT